CAAATAAAAAAGATTCCAAATTGAAAGTTTTCCATTTCTCTGAAGCAGACATTAAATACATGAGAGCCTTATCACTGCCTCTATCTTTTCTCTTTCTTATGTATGCTTCCTTTTTCTCACTAAAATCAAACGACATTTCAAATATTTTTTTCCATCACTCATTGCAGTCAAAATGGTATGGTCCATTATTTCTCTAAGATAGTGGCAGAGTGTAACACACATACTAACTTAGTAATAAAATACAAGCAGAATTATGATTTATACAAAACTATAGTTGAAACATGATTAAAATCAACTTTCTTTCACCAGTCAGGGTCCTAAAATGTAATACTCTCAATTCAAGTGTTCATTTTATAAACCTTGAAAAAGGCATGAAAACAAACATCCCTGTAACCTATTTTACTATTTGTCATCTTGTCACATATAGGAGGGAAGCTTGAAAGAGGTAATAATACTGCATTCATTAGACCTTCATTTTAATCCAGCACTGATACCTGAAGAAAATTGATGCAGAAATAAAAATGGCATTTTCATTTTAGTTTTTCATTTATTATTAGGCATTTTTTTTAAACATTTATTGTTTTTCTCTATGCAAACGAACTTTGTATATTTTTTTCAGTCCCTGGAAAAATTGAAGATTTTTTGGTAACACCTCACATTCAATTCAACCTGACAAGAAGTCTTTCTAATTGACTGGTGTTAATTAAACGATTAATTCGGTTTCAATATTGTTATAATCGTGAAGATCGACTAATTAGTTACAGGCACTAAAATGGAGAGAAACAAAAAAGAGGCTAGAATGTTAAGTGATGGATTCTAAGGGAGATAATCGACTCAATTACTTCCCCTGTTTTACATTTTCGTCAATGCATACAAAACTGTCTTTACAACTTGTATAAGAATGTCTTACACGAGAGAAAATGTTAGACACATTGGTCTCGTAAATCATATTTTTTCAAACTGGTAACCCATTATTGAAATAAGAAAACAAAAAAATTGAAAAGAATAGAATATTCAATGATAACATGGCCATGTCATTTTAGTGAAATGGAAAGCAAGTTGGTTTTGCAGATCATTAAAACTGAGTAATGAGTTCGATCCTCATTGTGTGCCCCAGTGCCAAAATTGAACTAAGCTTAGTAAATAATATAAACTACAATCATGCATTCATTTCATTAATGTAGAAGTTTTCATGATTTAATAATGAAGATTAAGATGCCCTAAAACAGCTTAAAAAAAAAAACAATTCTAAAATTTCTATGTGGCTTTTCCTTTTAATGGACTATTTTTCAGTTGTGTAATATAATCTGTAATAGCAAGTCATCCACCAAAAGCAATAAAAACACACTCCTATTTCTATTAAACAAATTTAAACACTATATAACGTCATATCAGCAAAATATTTTGTTACCCACTTAGCACACTCATTGCTTTTCAATACGATTTCATGAATTGTTTTAAATCATTTGCCAGAATAAGAAGACCAAAGACAAAGTAATTTTTTGCAAGACAAGTTTTAATCCTAAATAAAGTTAGCATATGAAGATTGAAAGTAACAATGTGTGTGTCTGTGATTTCTAAAGAAGTATTGGATATTTTTATTTATCAATCTAACATTATTTTTAGTGGATTCTCATATTTGAGTAGACGTGCTATTTATTTTAAACAGTATATTTAATTTTATCTACCGGACATGAATATTCGAGATAAAATCCAGGTAGAGCTCTATGTAAAAGATGTTTCCTCTGGTAAGATTTGAACCTGCATCCTCCTTTTGCAGGAGAAACCATCATTAGGTCTGACATACTTTTAACCAACTCAGGCATGAAGGGCATTGCCAATCAAGCAAGGCCAAATACTGCCTTTCTCATTCCTTAGATTCCTGAAAGTTTATATCTAAAACATAGACAAAACAATTTCTAAATGAACAATGTCTTTTTTATTTATTAATTCGAAAGATTTTTATTACATCTTTTCTTTTTATAAGATTTCTTGAATATTCAGGGCAAAAATAAATATACTGTTTAAAACAAACAGCATCTACTCAAATATGGGTATCCACTAAAAATATTTAAAAGGAAAAACATATGAGATGAAGTCAAATATGGATCAGAATTTGACAATAAGATAAAGAACAAACAGGAAATATTTATTGATCCAACATTTTTTTTTTTTTTTTGATCGGAATTACCCTAAGCAAGGCAGTAATGCGACTAAAACGTAATGGGTTACAGGGTGTGGAAGAATTAGGAACAGAAACATTAATGATGAGCAGAAAGAGAAGAGAGTAATCAGGTGGACAGTAGATAGCGATTGACATTGCATTAAAGTGTGAGAGAAGTAACTGAGAATAGAATTTAAAGCGATATCTAGCTAGCTAGCTCAACTGTAAATTGATGAGATCTCGATGCCAGTCTAGTGCTGTGCTTAAATTTGAAAACTCTAGGTACCATAGCGAAGAGCTCATTTGAACATTTACCATGAAAGTATTTATAGAAAAGACCCAGGGAGGCAACCTTACAGTGGTGGGAAAAAGACTGAAGCCAAGCTGCCAGATAAGGACCAATAATATTGCTAATTCTCGTATCAAGGTAAATAGCAGAGTACAGGACCATATGTGGCAGCAATATTATAAACATGGATGAATGGTAGACTTTCTTAGCAGCTGACCTAGCAATGGATTCAATATTGTCTTTCCACTTCATATCAACAGAGAATATGAGCCAGAGAAAGTGCAATGAGTCAATTTCCTGGAGGTTAGCATCAGCCATGGTGATGGAAGGCAACTCAGATGATTAAGGGAGAGAAGTTTAGTTTTGGAGGCATTAAAATTAACAAGCCATCTCTTGCCCCAGTTACCTACAGATTTGAGGTTGCTTTGGACATTGGCTGCCATTTTCACCTTCTTGAACTGATCAGCTTTACTATCGAGGCAGGAGTAAATGGTTGTGTTATCAGTGTAGATACCAAGGTGAGAACTGATGTCCTCACAAAGGTCATAAATGTAAATTAAACATAGAATAGGACCAAGGATGGAACCCTGAGGGTGTCACCTGTGTTAGCATGAAAGGATCTAGACAAGTGACTGTTCAGAATAACTTTCATTTCACGATTTGATAGGAAAGACTGCATCAGCTCAATAACTAATATTAAAGCTTCATCAGAGAATGCGATATGAAGAAAAAGAAGAAATTCTGATATTTTTACCAAAAAAAAAAAAAAAAAAAAATTCTGATAATACCAGAATGTTTTTCTTCTTATCTCATTCTCTGATGAAATTTAATAAAAGTGAAACATGTCAGATTGATAAACATTTCCTATTTTTTCTTTATTTCCTATATAATAAAGGCAAATATCAGTGTGTCACTTTTTTCAAATTTACAATGAGAGGTTGTAGCCCAACATATTGGCCCATTTTGGAATCAGGCCAACTCCATGAGCAAATTCAAAACATTTGGGATCTGGACCCGCAATCCAGATATTTTGGATTCCCAAGTTTTCATTATGGCGATTGTTTTTGATGATCATTTTTTTTGGATGGTAACAATTTTTATAACTTGGAAATAAATTTGGGAATAATTGAAATT